CAGTGATTACTTTTCATCAAAATGGAGAGAACAGGTAACACTGAAACAAAACTGCTAGTGAAAACTAAAAAAATACTCCACTCTAACCCAAAACTTCTCTATAATTTTGCTTTAAAGAGTTTGGTCCTTGAAAGACTATTATAGTACTTGTGAGCACAGGTGCTGTAATGATGCTTCTGGATGTTTTTATGGTGTAAAGATGGTCACAGCATGTATTTTGGAAATGATAGAGCTAGTAAATTCAAAACTGCCAAGTGACTGAATGGCATCAGTGGTGCTGCAAACTGTATACTAACATCAGCTCTTTGAAATAATCCTTTCTTCACTAGTGCTGAGTTAGGGATTAACGCTATATTGTGCCAATAAAATCATTGTTATGCTGAAGGTTTTTAAAAGCTCAAGCTGAAAGGCTACAGTATTTCTTATGTCCTGTTTTGACAGACCTAAGTGTCGTTTTAAGATGTTCAGTTGCCTTATAACCTCATTACCTTTTAATAGTGATTGTTTTTTGAGATTATAGAAATTATTTTATTGAAAGAAATATGCACTGACTCGCAATCCAGATCTCTCTCAGAAATTCTTGAGATGATTTTCCTCTTCAACTTGGATATCGGAAACCAGGAGAATTTACTTCTGATCCAAGCTGTCAGTTCTGACATTACAGCTATCTCCCTTATGCTGAACCATGAATGCATTCTAAGACTTGAGTGAAATGCTGTTACGAAGTTTATGTAAGTTTGTAAGTTCGGGGGCCAAGAGCAAGGGTTGCAGTTCAGCTCATGAAGATGATGTAGCAGCTTAAGACTAACCTAAATGATAGTTAGGGAGTTGGGAAGTCCTGCTTCCTTCTGCCATGCTGAAACTCAGGCTCCTGTCTGTTTACGGCACAGAAGAGTCAGTGGCATTCAGGCTATGATTACTCATTCATCACTGTTGCCATCTGAGCTGCCTTAAGCAATCTCTGCCCTTATTATTCATGTTTCCAGCTGCTTGGTGCTGTGTGTTAGCTCAGCCATTTGTGGAACTGCACAGTGAACCAGCTAAGCTACTAATCTGGCAGAGGGACTTTCTCCTTTATTCTATTCCTTTTCTTATTGTGGGGGTTTTTTCCCCTCTCTTGTATTTTATTTTTATTTTTTTTTAGTTTGGTTTATTTTTCTCTGGATTATGTTTTTATCTTCCTGCTTATTTGTAGTTTTTAGTCTTGGAGTTTTTTTTAACATGCAATTTTTTTCAGCTAGATTAGCTCCCCAGTGTAGTTTACCAAATAAATGGTAAGTGCTTTTACTGACATGACAAGGGAATGAGCTTCCACAGACAGCCATAGCAGTAGGAGGAGCTGGAGGTAGAGACCACATAAGCTGATACTGCTGCCAATATTTGCTCACCAAACTGTAACTCTGCAATGTGGATATCTAAATCTGTGGTATAATAATAAACATTTTAGCATGCTGCACTCCACAGTGTCTTGTCCTGTTTCTGTCAAATTCTCTTGGATTGTAGAGCTCACTGATGTAAGAATAGCTTTAGTGATAGAGACAGACCTAATTGGCATCCCACCAGTGATATGCTTTGGGAATTCTTACTTCAGATTAAACATAAACTGCTATCAAACTCTTCACTAGTCCAGCTGGAAATTTGAAAGGAAAAACTCATTAAATATCCTTGGATTTGCTGTCATCAGAGGATCTGAATTGCCCTTGCAACAACCACATCAGAAAGTTGCACATAAGTTTTCTTTCTTGGGTAGAGGGATCAGTGTTGTGTTAACCGTTAACTCACAGCATCAAAGAACAAATTTACATGGGTTCTTATTATAACTGAAAGATTTTTTTGTGTCATATTCTTGAGTTTAACTTAAATTTATATTTGCATGTGTGATTTGCAATTATTTAACATGTTTTATGAGTTGGTGAGGAAGAGAAGGAAACTTGGTGCTTTTTACAAGTATGAACACTTGTTTAAGTAGCATATCGCAGTCACTAGCTTAAAACTGACACCTGCAGTTAATGTTTGACCGCTGTCAAAAACAGGTCACCTAGTCTTAGATTTAATTTCTGGATTTTTTCCAATCTTGGAAGGAAGAAGCGAAATGTCAGTTTTGCAGGTTGCCTTGTTAAAGCTCTCCACATAATGGTGGGGTTTTTGGTCCAGTAGGAGTCTTAGATGTTCTTTTCTATTTGCCTTGTGAGCTTCCATCTGTATGGACTTTTTTTAGTAGTGTAATTAGTTGTTGACAAAATGCCTGTAAAAATACAGCTGGGAAAAAATACTTCTTTTGTTGTTGCTTTTTCCTTGTTTCAAGGGGTCTCTGGTTGTTGGGGGTTTTGTTAGTTTTTGTACATTGAGACTTGGCTCTGTATTCTACTAAGTTCCCTTCTTGTGTCTTCAAACTGTGGATCTGTTTGAATAGCCTTACAGTTAGGACCAAATTCTTTTGAAATTTATTTTGCATTACTGATACTTTGCACAACTAGTCATGTGAACATTTACCAAACTAAATTTAAGAAGTAATAGCAATATATGAATAAGATTTTTTTTAAAAAAACGTGTTTAGGGCCTGATGGAAAGTTTCCAGAACTCAGATGTGTATTTTGTGTCTAGGGGATTAAATTTTCATTAGATACTATCATGTAAGCATGTGGACAGGAAACAGCCTTCTGTATCAGCTGTTAATAAAACATTTAAGTCTGGTAATTTTGCGATACACTCAGAACAGCTCAGTCCGGACAGAGGAACTTGAAATTGGTGACTTCTTGTTACTTCCTGCCTTTTCTTGATGGACTTGCACTTTCAAAGGTTTGCCAGGAAACTATGTTTGCAAAATCTGAATACAAAAAAGGATTCTTTGATGACTTTACATCAGCAGGCACTGTTATGGAAATTTCATCTTGTCATATATCTGTGGTGGTTTGACCCTGGCCAGTGGCCAGGTGCCCGCATAGCTGCTCTATCACTCCCTCTTCTCTGCTAGACAGGAGCAGAAAAATATAACGAAGGGCCCGTGGTTTGAGCTAAGGACAGGGAGATCACCCACATCTACCGTCCTGGGCAATATAGACTTGATTTTGAGGAAGTCAGTTAAATTTATTAAAGAACAAATGAGAGAAGAGTAGTGAGAAATAAAAACAGATATTACACTTTCTCCCCAACCCTACCTTCTTCCCAGGCTTAACATCAATCCCAGTTTATCCACCTCCTCCTCCCGAGTGGTGCAGGGGGACAGGGAATGGGGGTTACAGTCAGTTCATCCAATGTCGTTTCCACCACTGCTTCTTCCTTCGGGGGGAGGACTCCTCACTCTTCCCTTGGGCCATTGTGGGGTCCCTCTCACGGGACATGATCTTCACACACCTTTCTCCAAAGTGAGTCCTCTCATGAGAGACAGTTCTTCACAAACTGGCCAATGTGAGTCTCTCCATGGGGTGCAGTTCTTCAGGGGGAAACTGCTCCAGCACGAGTCCCCAGTGGGGTCACACAAGTCCTGCCAGCCAGCCTGCTCTAATGTGGGCTCCTCTCTCTCCACGGGCTACAGGCTCTGGCAGCAACCTGCTCCAGCACCGGCTTCCCAAGGGGTCAGAGCCCCCTTCAGGGATCCACCTGCGCTGGCTTGCGGTGCTGCACCATACCCCCCGTCCCCTCCATGGGCTGCAGGGGACCAGCCTGCTTCACCACAGTCTTCACCATGGCCCGAGGGGACTCTGCTCTGGTGCCTGGAGCTCATCCTCCCCTCTACCCCCAATTCTTCACTGACCTTGGGGTCTTCACAGATTCTCACTCCTCTGTCTCTCTGCCAGTTGTTGTGTGGCACAGTTCTTTTTTCCTCATTTCTTAAATATGTTTTCACAGAGATGTTCCTATCCTGTCATCACTGACAGGCTCAGCCTTGGCCAGCGGTGGGTCCGTCTTTGGAGCTGGTTGGCACTGGCTCTGTTGGACCTAAGCGAAACTTCTAGCAGCTTCTTGCAGAAGCCACCCCGCCACTGAAATCTGGCCAGGCAAACCCAATAATTATTTTCAGTGAGATGCATGTCACTGGTCCTTCTCATGTAACTGCTGGCTTCCATTTATTTCCATAGGACTTTGGGGAGGTAATTTTCTTTTTGCATGGGACTGATTCCTTGATAAAGGGGGTTGGAAGCTCAGAAGTTTTGACATAACCTTCACAAGAAACTTAAGGGATTTGGGGACAAAAGCCACTGGTCTCTTCATTATGTCTTTATAAAGATGGCTAAGTTAGCAAATACTCTTCCACAATTTAACATTGGATTTGAATGGTGTCATTACAGTTGGAGAGAAACTGGACACCTATATTACCAGCTGTGACTGCCTCGCAGTATTTCTAGAAATTTCTATTGAGCTACATAAAGCTATGTTTTCACTAATATAGAAGGATTCTTTTTGAGTACTATAGGTCAGTATGAGCCTGATAATCCAGTTGATCACAGGACTAAGCAGTGCTTCATATTCAGTAGAGTGGACTTGATTAAACTTCTTCATGTTGAAAGCATTGACTGTAAGATATTTTTAATGAGACGTTAGTGAAGAAAGAGGGGTAGGATGTGCTCCAGGTGCTGGAGCAGAGAGTCCCCTGGGCCATGGTGAGGACCCTGGTGAAGCAGGCTGCCCCCCTGCAGCCCATGGTTGTCCACAGTGGAGCAGATATCTACCTGCACTCATTTAGACACTTTTTTATCTGGAATACTTTAAATAAGTATGAACTTTTTTTAATTCATGGTGGAAGTAAAGAGATAGTGCCATTTAGTTTTGATCTCCTAAAATGTCAGCAGGCTATACTTACATTGTTTGTTGATGTAAGCAATGAGTATGTATGTGTTCTTGGCGAGTTCTCATATTCCATCCACATCTGTTCACTCAGCTAACTGTGGCATTAATAATTTTTTTTTTTTGCTAGGGGTTTAGGGACTAACTTTTCAAGTTGAATTCTGTTTTTCTAGAGGATGAATTGTCCTTGACTTTTTTTCTGTCATTTCGTGCAGGTTTCAGATGATGGTCGATATGTCTTACTGTCTGTCAGAGAAGGGTGTGATCCAGTGAACCGACTGTGGTACTGTGATCTACAGAAAGAGCCTCAGGGTATATCAGGTATGTGTTTTCTTGCTTTATAAGTTTTACTTCATTTTAAGACAATCTAAGACTTGAAATACTTAGTTTATGTTTAAACATGTATGTTGCTGAACCTCCTCTCTTTTTCTTTGTAATGCAGAGATTACATGGACTGCTTCTGCTGGCATTCCCTTTTGCTGTGTGCCAGTAGAGGGAAAACTCCGTTCTTAGTTGTGTTAGTTTCAAAGGTCACAAGGAAAAATTGAGATAATATAAGCAGCCTTACCAGTTTATGTTCTATTTCTTTCTACACTACTAGTATTTTTCCATGTTTAATTTCATTTTACATTTTAAAAATTCGTGTGTCTCCCTTTAAGCGCTGTTCTCCTGTTTTTGAAAGTAGTACCTGGTTTATAGGTAAAACTGTCTTTTTCTCCATATCATACTAGGAAACAAGCAAAAATCCTCTGATATTTTAGTAATATGGCTTTACTTTGTAACATCATTAATGTTTACAGTAGAAGTACCTGCTTGTATTTCAAATACACTCCTTCCTTGCATTCTAATAAGATTAGCCTTTGGCTTTTCTGTATTTGGCTTATTAGCCTCAAAGGTATGGACTGAAAGCATGGTACTTTATTCCATATGCCTGTTGTTGGTAGTTGGCATAGTTAATTGTTTTACTGATCGGTGGGTTTGTATTTCCAGAGTATGGGATTCTTGAAATCTATTCCTCAATATGTGCTTTGCATAGAGCACAACTTCCTTCTTTCTGATTCTTTGTGGCATCTGTCTTCAAAAACCTCAGAAACAGAATAAATACTGCAGTAGCTCCTTGTTAAATATTAGGTCTCAAGATACTTGTTCTCTTGCCCATAAACAGAATATTCAAGGCTTATAAGCATGATTAGAACTGAGCAGCTCTGCAATACAGTGTGTATAGTTCTTTTTCTCCCTGCCTTTATTGCACTGCGTGGTTGTGTGATCTTCCCTTAGTTCATTAACAAGTCTTAGTACAATATTTTTGGTTGTGGTGAGTTAAGTGTTCATGATGATAGTTAGCAGTTTTATACTTCTTTCTGGGGGATGGTTAATTTTGTTTTGTGAGTGTGTCGCTCTCTCCTTTTATAAAGGATATTACTTAAATGCTTCTAAACTTGTCTTGGGCAACTGAGTAGTTGTTTAATGTCCTCCTGAATGTAGAAAATGTAGGCCTAATAAAATCATTATAGATGCTTTCCATGCAACTTTTTTACAAACATAAAACTATGTAGATAAAACTGTTTGATACAGTGAAGCATTTTTGTAAATGATAAATTGCGTTGTCATTCAAATTGACACTTTCCAGCTAGAGACAGAATACATAAAAAGCACAGCTGTCCTCCTGTATTCACCATCCCACTGTCACACTGGACACCTTGAAGAGGATACTGGCATCAAGCCTTGAAAGACCATGGATGAGATAATAAATGTTCTATTTTGTACTACCTGATATGAGGTAAACCTACAGTTTAACCTTTTCCAGGTTTGGAAATGCTTCTTTAAAAAAACCCTTTTTTTCCCTGAACCAGTCTTTGACGTCTTATTTATTTGTTGTTGAGTGGGAGTTTTGCCATCCCTCCAAATTCTCCCTTTTTGCCTATGAAAGGAAAGATACAGCTGTCACAATTTGCTTGTGCAAATTCTGTGTGTTATAAACTTAGGGACTCTCTGTATCTGTCTCCCTAAGCTGCCAAATGTGTTTTCAGTTGCCCATGTCTTACTACCTGCATGTTAGTAAGCATAGACCTAACATTTAACATCTGGGATATTTCCTAGAGTTCATCTTTTATGCAAATGTAAACACCCTGAACCACTGGTCCCTCAGCCTTCAGTAGCTAAAGGCACTAAGTTGAGCAAGCAGTAATATGTATATATATATATATAAGCTTAATTCTTGACTCTATCAATCTAGACCACAAGTGGTGTAATTTCATTCAGCTTGTGATTTTCCGGGACAGCAAGTGCAGAAGGTTGCTTGTGAAGTTAGGAGAAATTAATGCTAAATTTCATTATTTAAACTGTTGTATAGAAGTAAATAAGCAGCTCTAGAATAGTGGAATCGATGACAAGGCTGTTTCTTAAGTAGTATCTCAAGGTATGTTCAGATAGTTTAAGACTAAGTGATGCTTAGAAATATATGTATAAGGGAAGCATATTCTTAACAAAGCCATGAGATAGAGAAGTACTGGCTTTGTTATGCTGTCTGCAGAATGCAGTGTTCAAGGGTTTGTATAGTATCAAACCATACCACTTGTTATGAAGTGTTACAGGAATCAAGTGCCTTGGAAGAGTATCTGTACTGTTAAAACATATTACATTATACTTCTGTCTTTTAGAACAGTATTTACGACTAGTCCTCATACCTTTGGTGACATCTAAGATAATTTTGCCGTTTTCCTCCTTCGTGACTATTGAATGTTTAATCTGAGCCTTTTTACTTGACCTGTTTACAACAATCTGTTCATTCAAAAGTCCATTCTAGTGTTCAAATGCCTCATCTTAGTTTGGAAAAAAAAAACCGAAGGAAAGAAAAGTAAGATAGTTAGTGTTTTTCCAGTGTCCTACGTGGTACTTGATACAAATAAATAATTAGATATTCAGGCACTTGGTATTTTCCTTCCCAGCTTACTCTTTTAATTCAGGTTGTCCAAAAATACACTAGTTCTTTAGAAAATTTTCTTTTTATGCTTTAAACATTTAAGTCTCAAGCTTCTTTAGAATTATTCAGAGGGCACCAAACACAGAAAGCAATGAGGCCTTTTCAAAACGTAACAAGCAGTAAATTTACGGGGCATCTATTCCTTGTGCCATGTATTTCTGTGAAGAAGTAAAATCAGCTGCTAAGCGAGAGTTAATTGATGAGATTCTAATTCTTAAGTTTATGTCAAAGTCCTCATTATAGAATGGTGCACTTCAGCAGATTGTTTTTAAAGATGCTTTATAGCATATATTGCCTGTAAAATAGCAATTTAGTCATGTAATCCTGAGCTTTTTTTTGTCCCAAGATAACCATACTACTGCATAGTTTGAAATGCTACATGTAAAACCGTGTTAAGGAATTTTCTTACTTCATGTTACACGAAAGTGCAAAGAACTGATTCTCATCATGGCTTATTGCCTGAAACACCTATTTCAGGATGTCCTGTTAATTAACTTAGGGACAGCTTTCTTGATTGTTTTGATTGCTAGTGCATTCTTTTCCTTTCACGGGAGGAAATGAAATTTTATAATTGTTTAAAATATTTCATAAAAAGAACATGTTCTCATAGTCAAGATAACCACTGAAAAGTGAATTTCTTTGCCTTCTGATGTACTGAGGTCTTGTGGAGTTAGCTGCCGTTCTGTTACTATTTCTTAGAGTTGCAGTGGTAATGGCTGCTTGTATGGCCCCTTTGCTAACAGATGGCTGTGAACAAGTCATGAAGTTCAGGGTTCCAGCCTCAGTACTGACTGCCAAAATGCCAGGTCGTTGTCTATAGGAAACCTATAGGCTGTGAAATGCAGTTCCTTATGGTTATAGATCAATAGTTTATTCCTAAGATAGAGAAATTTATCCTTTTATTGGGAGATAAATATCCATATTTTATGAATTAAAAAAAGTAACATGGAATAATGATTTTTTCTTTTTAAATCATGTAATTACTTGTTTAGACCTATGTGTATTTTGGGGTACAATAGTAAAGAAAATGAGTTCTGAAAGCTAAAAATAAATGGTGTTATTGATGCTTTCTGCTTCTGAAAAATCAGAAAATTTCTTGGAGATGGCATCTCTCTTTCACCTTGAGAACTCTAATAGTCAAAAACTAAAAGAGGAGAAAGTCTCCTCTGTCTATAGATAGAGCTTGTTGTCCAGCAGGAACTCCCAAGATCGTTTTCTGCAGAGCTATTTTCCAGCCACTTAGCCCCCAGTGTGTACTTGTGCTTGAGATTCTTCTTCCCTATACGTAGGACTTTGTTCTTCCTCCTGTTGAACTTCACAAAATTCCCTCCAGCCCAATTCACCAGCCTGCCTAGATCACTCTGGCACCACAACAGGCAGTTTTGTGTCATCTGTAAACTTGCTGAGGGTGCACACTCTGCCAGCATCCAGGTCATTAATGGAGATCTTAAAGAGCATTGGCCCCAGTATCAACCCCTGGGGTTATCTCCAACCAAACTTCAGCCAAGGCTTCCTGCAACTTCCACACGCACAACCAGGTTCTTCCTTGTTTGTAAGTATCGGGTCAGCAGAGCACCCTTCTTTCTTTGACTTCTTGATCACCTCCATAAGTTATCATCAAGCCATTCTAAAATTCTCCTGAATTGCTTAAGCCCTGCTTCCAGCAGACATCGTAGCGGTTAAAATTTCCACCACAAGGAGAAGAGCCTATGAACATGAGGCTTCTTCCAGTTGTTTGAAGACATCATCTGCTGCTTCATGATCAGGAAGTCTGTAGCGTGCACTCACTACAGTACCACCCATGTTGATCTGCCTGCTAATCTTGACCCATAAACTTTTGACTGGCTCCTAACCTGTCCCTCACAACTTCCCTCCTCAGCTTCCAAGCCTGCCCTTCTTAAAAAGCCTTCACCCATCCATCACAGCACTGCAGTCCCGTGAGCTATCGCCTTGTGTCTCTGAGATCCTAAGGAGGTCAGAGCCTGGAAACTGCACGCAACAGACTTTTAAACTCCTCAGTGTTCCCTGTGTTGTGTGTGTCACTGCAGGGGCAGTTCAGACAGACACCCAGGCATGCTGGTGCCCCGGTACAGGCTTGAGAGCTTTCTCCATGAGGATGTTCTGCAGGCACTTACATCTTCACACACCTACACCTGGAGAGATTCCACTTCAGCTCTGTCGTGTCAGTTGCTGTGGCCCTTTGGATCCTGTCACCTGGACCCTTGGCTAGCCTACCCCATCCACAGCTGCTTTCTTGGTTGCTGAATAATCTCTCTTACCTGTCATTACTAGTTTAAAGCTCTGCTTGTGAGGTTGGTCAGCCTGCAAGGGTATTTTG